CAAAATCATAATTGGAAGACATCTCCTTAGGCCAGGTCCTGATTTTCCTGAGTAAAAAACGTTCAAGGCTCCCGGTTATTTCAGCCAAAAAAAMCTCACACGAGATAAAACAGGTCCTTGGTAAATCATTGGCCCATTCCTGCTTGTGTGAGGCTGCTGCGTARTTTTGTGACAGAGCAAATGGGATTGTTTTTTCTTATTTCATTATGAATAAAATACTTCCTTTTTCTCTTTTTTTTTTCTTTTTTTTTTTCTTCATTATAGAGGCAAGGATGTTAGGTTGCATCGGTCACCCAAGGACTATTGCTGCATCTATTGGCTCTCTAGTGTTAATATTTGATTTGGGGATGGAATCGTCTACAAGAACCTATTTATGTGACAATATAATATGTAACTGATTTTTAACTTGTAACTCTGTTTTACCTGTTAGGATCCTTCTCTACAGCAGCCAGAACGTGCTTTGGAGAGGAAGAGCAAGAACGTGCAGTTTATGAATTTAAGAAGCACAGGAACTCTGAACAACAAAAGGTAAATTTCACTGAGATATTCGTAACAACATTTGCTGTTCATTTTAAAATATAACATTGCTAGACATAGTAGGCCATGAAACTAACATCATATAGACACTGGCATCATGGTTTAGAGAAGCATAGGTTTGTGGGAGAACATTTGTGAAGTCTTTTAGGAAATAATTCATGTACCTAAACAAAGGTGTCTAAGCAGCAGCGTTTAATATGCCCCAGGGTGCATGAGATTCCTGCCTTGGGCAGGCRGGACATGACAGGGAACCTGCAGGACACTTCCATGGATCTTGTTCATTTAGTACCTGAATCACATCCTGCATCCTAAGCTGAAGGTCTTCAGGCCTTCCCATCTGTGGGGGTTTCTGTGGTGGGCCTCACACAGATGGTGTCGAGTATGTGCCTGTTACTCCCTTGCAGGAAGCTTTCTTTATTGTCAGTTGGAAAATACAACATTGCGGTAATTCGTATTAATTGCAGTCATACTGTGTTGCTATATCTGTTTAAAAAAAATGAAAGCTGGTAAATTGCATGTTGCTAGACTCATCSTCCTACGTACACACTGTTAAAACATGACATTGGATGGCTGAAAATGTGATTTCAGGGCTGTACTGAGCACTGTGTAATGGCCACTAGGGTGCTCTGAGGCTCTTTGCAGAAGTTAATCAGGGGCATGTTAGTTTGTAAGCACATTTTAAGTGAAGCGCTGGACTGCTTTGGGAATTCCAGATGGGAAGTCAAATGCTGTATGTAGATAGGGCACTTGATGCAGATACTGAAGTTCCTAAGCCTCTGCCTGTAGTTACAGTTGCTCTTTTATAATCAAGTCACATACCCTCTGCACAAGAAATGTTTGTATTTATTCAAAAAGTTTCAAAACTAAGTAATTCTTGCACCCTTCTGTAAAAATGTTTAATTTTGAACCAGCCCTGTCTTCCGGTACTTAGCAGTCTCTATATCTAAGAAAAGAAATGCAAATTCTTCAGTTAGTGATCTCTGCTACCAACTAACGTCAAAATTTCACCACTATTTGAGATGCTGTCTTATCTACAATAAGTTAGATATATATATATTTTATATATATATATAAAAAGATAACATCTTGTTTCGTGAGATCATCTCTGTTCACCGTTTTATCATGTTTTTATTACGGAGAAAACACTGTCTTCCAAAAGAAAACTTTTCTTTCTAATTATGGGATTATATGTCATTTGCAGCTGTTTGGATGAGACCACTTATGAAAAGCTGGCTGAAGAAACGCTGGACTCCTTAGCAGATTTCTTTGAGGATCTCACAGATAAGCCTTTTACCCCAGAAGATTATGATGTATCTTTAGGGGTATGTTTTAAAGTTTCTGTTATTATCACTGCAAGTATGGTAAATCATACCTTTGACAGAGGATTTTAAACTAGTCATCTTAGTGCCCACATTTAAATTACAGTGAGTTTTTTTTAATTCTAAAATATGCTGAGGAAAATCCTTTGATTTTATTCAGTGTAGCAGCGGTTTTGGTAAAAAATGACACTTGCTGTTACATGATTATAAAATTAAAATATGTAGTGTATAGACAAGGACATAATATTGATGAATAGAGCAGCATGAGAGGAGCAGAAACTGGTTTTGATTTCACAGAGGTCCCTAAAACTTTCTAATCTCACTTTGAGTTCTGCTGCCAGCAGTCAGTTCCCTCTAAGGAAATGCAAGGACAGACATAAGTAACATGTCAAATGTAGRCTAGGTGCATCTGTTAGACCGTTTCTTGGTACTTGTGGGTGYTGAGAGGCTGCCCTTATCTCGAGCAGGCAGAGTTGATGTTTGTGCTGCCTTCACTGGTGGTTCAGTGGTGATGGAGAGCAGCAGAAGAGCCTGCAATGTTTGGATGAGAGGTGGCAAAAGTGAGAACACGTGTGGGGTGAAGGCAGTGGACAATGGGAAGCCTGATAATTGATCATTGACAATGTTCAGTTCTTCATACRAGATTTCTTAATCTGAATAATATTTAGACTGTAGTCGCAATATGAATCTGACAGCTCTAAAAGCAAACAAGTGGACAGTTCTATTTATATAAAGCTAATAAATTCCTTAAGTGAAATTCCTGAGGCTGCTTACATGCTGCAGCTCACATGACATGGAGGAAGGCACAGACTCTCCCTGTGCTGCAGTCTGCAACACATTTTTTGCAGTTCATGTTGTACCACAAGGAGGTTACTTGTTCTAGCCCTGTCAGGTGTGGGTTTATGCCTGGGGCAACTGCAACGGATAGTCTGGGTTGCACTGTGCAAAAAACTGCTATAAGGTTTCAGACCTGCTCATGTGCAACTTTACATGGTTGTAGCATTCGATCTTTAGATAGATGGATATGTATGTCAGCATCTTGCTAGCAAAATTCTCTCATTGTGCATAGCAAATATTATTTGTTATTTTAATTGCATACAGAATAAGTATTATAGCTAATTACTTAGCTGATGAACAACAATGAATTGTTTAAACACCACCATTTATATCTGTTGGTACTTCAGTGCCTGTTAGGCAGGCTTAAATACCTTACAACAAAAGTTATCAAAAAGATAAGTGTTTTCCCTTTGAATATTTTTACACACTTCATTACTTGGAAGTCTGGAGCAATATCATAGCTTTATCTCTGGTAAATTTACAGTGGATTGTGTTTGATGTTTGCTCACTGTGAGGCTCTGAGGAATTACTTTCACACCCAGCTTGCACCAGTCATCCTGTTGCACAGGTTGTGGCATCACATGGAAATAGGCTGTAGTTCCTGTGCAGAGTAARAGCTGGTGCCGAGTTTAGCAAAGTTAATTCCAAACAGAAAGAAGTTACTGTTCCAGAAAGCCACAAGGTGGCGAGCTTGGTAAAGGTTGGCTACTGCTGCGAGGTCTTTAAAACTTCTTTTCTTTGTGCAGATATTCGTATCTTAAGTGTACAGGCGAAAGAAATCTCATGTGAAGAGTGTTCTTGTTACCAGTAACTAGCAGGCACTCATAAAGTAGCACAAAAAATTTGCAGTGTAATTCCTCAAAATATGTTTAAAATGTCAGGTGTTTTGAGTTTCTAAAACTTCGGGCAATGTTTTCTGGTATTTCAAAAGTATTGCAAACCATGTAGATAAATATTTTACCCTGCACTAGAAGTTAACCTTTATTGAATTAACAGTTGATAGAGCAATAATACTGTCCAATTGCTGACATAAACTATGAGCAGTAGTTAACTTTTTTGTTAATTCTTTTGCAACCTGTTTGCTTATAATGTTTATAGAATGTGCAGCATAACATTAATCATATTAAGTTGTTACATGTGGCTTTAATTAGCACACACCAGAATAAAGAATACTGACACCGTTACAAATGTACTCAGCTATTCATGGTTAGTGATTCCAGCATGCTCTTATCTCCTATTCTGATGGCAATATTAATCAAGGATACTTTAAACATGTAAATCCATTATCAAGCACAGCAACAGCATTGAGAGTGATGTGAAGAATTCAAACATTGGAGTGTTACTTCATGGCTGATGCTTTTTCAGATGGGCCAGAAACCTAAAACATTGGATTATTTCATAGGGGAGCCAAAGTGTAAGCTACTGCCTGTGCTGCTGAATAAGACTGCAGGCAGGCAGTAGAAAATCATCYGTAAAATACCTTTTTTTTCCCCACATTTAAATGTTTTTACAAAGAAAGTGACCCTAGCAATAACTGCAGCTCTAACAGTAATATCTTCTGAGTAAGGCAGGGAGGATATGGATTCAAAAATGTGCTGTGTCATACTGCTGGGTGTGATGTATTTGGGAAGCTGTAGATTAAATGTGACTAACCTGTCATCTGAGTCATCAAATTACATTCTATAATTTCTAACATATTTCAGATCATCTGCAGTGTAACTCAGATACAAGTAGTGTCATTCTTTTACTCCTCAAATTAAGATAGAAATATCTCTGTCAAAATTAAGTTGCTCTTCAAAATACAGGTATGAAAATACCATAGACACACGAATCATGTTGTGGCTAAGAAATGTGAGTAAGAGGGGAGGGGGGAGAGCGAGAGAGAGGGGGAGAGGGGGAGAGAGAAAAGAGTTCACTAGCAAAACTAGTGGGAGTCAGCAGAAGTGTAACAAAGCAGAGCTCAAAGGGTTTCAGTGAGAAACATTCCTGAGGAACAAACAGTTCATCACCTGCACCCTTGATCGGAATTACCGGACCAGGAATTTTGTTTATTCACTTGGAAACTGTTACAGTTACCAGAAGTCAGTTGAAACTGCCCAGCACAGGAATTCAGTGGTGACACGAGGAGCTGCTTGGCCGTGAAGCGCGGTGAGTTTGCGCGGCACAGGAACAGCAGGGTTTGCTCCTGGTTGTGATGCCGAGGGCTTTGCAGAGTGAAGCGCCCCTCCATTCCGGGCAGCACCTCGGAGCTGAGCGGGGCTGCTCGCGTGTGGCTGCTGCGAGCAGCACAGACACACAGCCCGAGTCACACCCCGAGCAGCCGRGACTGAAGTCCACATCACATCCAAAAATAGGCAGGGTGACCCAGCTGCTAATGGAAGCTTTTGATATCTGGTGACAGTTCTCCCAAGCTAATTGGAAAATTGTTGAGAATGTGATGCAGGCGAGAATATGATGCAGGTGTGTGAGTTTCTATTTGCCTGTTGTGGATGATGTCATTCGTATTAAGTAACTTTGCGTAATTTTTCATCTGTCTGTTTCCTTTGTCTTTCAAGAGTGGAGTTTTAACAGTTAAACTGGGTGGAGATATGGGAACATACGTAATCAATAAGCAAACACCAAACCGACAGATTTGGCTCTCCTCACCCACTAGGTAAGTTAACGTGTCGTAAGTAATGCCTGAAGACTGGCTTAAAATGTATTTCCTCTTTCCTCAGCCTGCCTTGGGACTGTGTAATATCCTTTGCAAATACAGCTYTTTCCCTCACTATATATTCAAAGCGTGATCTATCCTCACTGTGTGATAAGGCTTTGTTATGGTGGTTTGTCACGCAGTGCAGTGCACTGAGTTACCCTCATTAATCTAGTAAATGTTTAATACAGAATTTTCGCATCCTGTTGCAGGCCCAAACCTCTATGCAGAGAGCCTATTCATAGGAAAAATAAACAGTCATAATTAAAGAACAAAACTTCTGTTGGAAAAAGGGAGGAGATGATGTTAGGATCTAAACCTCTCTTTGTATTTAAACAGGGTGGCTCCTTCCCCTTTAAGCCTGTGGGATTTCCTGCYTCATGTGTTTACGTGTGCTCTCTGATGGGCTGTTTTTTGTCGAGCTCCTATGCTCTGTGGCAACCTTGGCTTGCCATTCCCTCTGCCTTCTCCAGCTCTGCGGTTCCGTCCATCCCAGGTTTTCTGGTGGGTTTCAGCTAGGAGGGCAGCCAGATGTGTGGGAAAGTGTAGCTGCCTCCTCTCCCCAAAATCTGTGTCGTCTTCTGCAGTCCCAGGGGAAGAGGAGAGGGAATCCAGCAGTGCTCCTGTTAGGGGAACCAGATGTCTGGCACCCTGGGCGCTCACAGCACCTCTGYGGGCTCTCCTCTTGGAGGCTCCTCTGTGAGCTGCTCCACCAGCGACAACAGGGTTTGCAGGAGCAGGGTTTCAAAGCAGGATTCAGGTGTAGGAGGAGGGGAAAAAAACCCAGAACTTTAGATTCCAAGGTAAACAATTTGAGGAAATTACAGTATGAGGAAATAAAAATTACCTGAAGAAAATTTGAACTGTCTTGGTATGCTTTTACACTGGCCCAGCAYATTAAATAAGCCATTTTTCACTACTGCTAACTCATTTTTCCTCACAGAATCTTTTCTTTTCCCCATTAAATATTTTATTTAACAGCTATCTGAYTTGACAGGGCAGTGGCCTAATAAATAAATACTTACTTTAAGACAGATGCAGGCTGCACGTCATGATTTATTCACTTTTTTTTCCATCAAATATAATTTAATGCAGTATCAAGAACCATGATATTGCTTAAGTGGTCTGTAGGGTTTTGTTTCATTGACACAAAGTTTTAATTTACTTTTGGAAACCAAAATTCAGAGAATTTATGTGTGTTTGGAACCAGTTTTAGCTCTGAGTACTGGGTTTGTGGGAAATGTCAGCTGTTTTCATTTTATGATTGCTCCTGCAGTTGAGTAAAATGCACAATAAAATAAACAAGCTGAACTTTCTTTAAGGAGGTTTCTCAGCATCTGTGGTGAATCTTCACCAAGAAACATTCGGTTTTGTGCTTCCTTAGCTGGTAATGTGTATTGGTGTATCTAGAAGAATATTGGTGTATCTAGAAGAAAATGCTACATGCTCATTTATTTCCTAATTTCTGTAAATATATGGTCCAACATGCAGTGTTCTAAAAAGTGAAAGAAATAAACATTGCTGACAGTGACTAGGGGTATTTCTATGTCTGGGAAAATTGAGTGGTAAATGTAGAATTTTTGAGTCTTCATGAACATAACTTGAGGAGGATAGTTGCTTCAGGTGGGAGAAGCAGAAATTCTCATGAATTCTTTTAACCTTTGCTCTGCTCCACTTYGTTGCATACCCTCAGGTGAAATGAAGCCTGTGCCTGTAAAGCTTTATTTAGCTGACAAAAATAATAAAAGAGGTGTAACCTACGTTCAGTGTGGTTGCATTAATTTTTTTGTGGCTCATTAAACTGAAAAGGCATTTTAAACATTACACAATGTCTGTGATAATACTTTCATGTGTTACTTTAGTCCTTCTCTTTTATGTTAAAAGGATATTCAGACTTCCAGTGAGAAATATATTTACTTCATGTTTAATCTTTGTAGGCATTTGTTATAAAATGCCTTACCAAAGATCATTGTTGACATGATAAAATGTGAGAAAATCATATTTGTCCACCGTTTTGAAGATTCAGAGAAATAAGATAGTTAATCACATTACTAGTTTCTACGAAATAAGGTACAACAACAGTTGACATGACTTATCAGTGCGTTTCTTTTCTGTGTGTGTGTTGACAGAATGACTTCATAGTTTCAGCCCATTCTGTCATTTCCTAGGAGGAGGACAGTGTGAACCTGCCTTTGGTTGTGTGTGTGTGTGTGTGTGTGTGTGTGTGTGTGTGTGTGTGTGTGTGTGTGTGTGTGTGCGCGTGTTGGTTGGTTGGTTTTCCTGCCAGGACGGAGTAGGAAACGCGCAGTAAAGCAACTGCAGACATGGACTCGGTTCGGAACAGTTCTGAGTTCCCCCACAGCGGATGAGACTCCGTGGGAAGCTGATAGTCACTGTGGTTGGGTGAGGGAAGGTGTCTGGAAGGATGGAGCGTGCCCGGCTGGAAGGACGGAGCAAACAGCCTCGCCTCCTTGTGCCGGGGCGGGAGGCAAGGAGGCTGGTTCGGGCTCTGCTCTGCTCCACTCGGCCTGTGCGAGTGTCACAGAGCTGCAGTGGTTAGTGGGCAGCGTGGGTTCAGCCTCACACTGACACTGTTTTACTACTTGCATAGGGTTGAGCGCAGGGGGAGCCGCTGCGGAGCACCGTGCTGGAGGAAGGAAGGGAAGGGGAGAGAAGGGGGAGCTTGGCCTGCCAGGGGTGACAGGGAATGTCTTGTCCCTGTCACGTGCAGCAGCCGGGTGGCTCAGCAGCGCCTGGCAGGTCTGGCTCTGGGTTTCGCTCTCCCTTGCTGCTCTCCCACCTTTCTCCATGCAGTTCATTCCCTTTTCCTGGGCCCTTTCCAGGTTGCCTTGCACATACAGCCCTCAGCAGCTCCCTGTGATAATGTGCACTTAAATGATGTGTTTTGTTTCCTAGCGGGCCCAAGCGCTACGACTGGACTGGACGGAGCTGGGTATATTCCCAYGACAGAGTCTCCCTTCATGAGCTACTATCAAAAGAACTTTCCACGGCATTAAAAACAAAACTAGATTTGTCCCGCTTAATATATTCTGGGAAAGAAGACACTTGATGATTTTCTACCTCATGGAAATTGAAAGACTTTAACCAAGACTTTAACCTYGCTAGGCTTCCAGAGTACCTGAGCTTGATTCTGTTGGTTTCCTTTACATCACTGTGTTGTGTAACAACATGAGGAACAATATATTTTTCTTCAGTGATCAGTGTTTGGGTTTCTGTGTCACTGCCTCAGTKTGTGCCCTTGGACTACGGATGGTTGAGGTGTCCATTCCTGTYACTGCATCTCTTACTCCTCAGTGTACTTACTCCTGAGAAGCAAGTCGTGAATTTCTGTGGCCCGTAGGTTTGTCTGGGTGCAGGGGCTGGCCTGTCTGGCGACTTGTGACCGGATCACTATTGCCAAACTTCTTGAGCCAGAAGCAGGAATGGCAGGACATGCTCCGGCACGAGCAGTGGTGCTGCAAGGGGCAGGGAACAGAGAAGGGAGGGTGCTGCGGACAAGCGAGTAACTCACCACAGTCCCRTCGAACACATGATAAAGGAAACAAGCGTGGCACACGGAATGTTTTCCACTTTGGATAGTGGCCATAGTGGGAGTTTTGCAGAATTCACTATCTTCTCCAGTTTCCTAATTTATTAACAAAAAAGCTAGATTTTAAGCTGCATATGTCTCTGTGGCTGTAAGCAGTACATAGAACTGAAAAGAAGGCTGTTTGGTTGTGTTTTAGCTGTGCAGCAATAACTTTACAATTTATCCTATTACTGTGAATTTCGGGTTTTTTTTTTTTTTTTTTTTTTTTTTTGAAGAGTAAAAATACAAAATTTACTGTTGAGCAAAATGAAGATCCTCTCATGACAGCAAAAAAAAAAAAAAGCACTAGTTTTTGTACTGCTGCTTTCTATAAGTAACTGAGGGGAGTTTTTCTTTGCACCATGATGTAAGGCCTCCATTGGTGCCATGCTGGTGCAGAGACATTTGCCTTTTTGCCTGTTAGAATTGATGAAGCTGAATCAGTTCCAGACTGTTTAGAAAAAGAGATGAAATAAATTATATACTACAGCTTTTTAAAAGATTGTGAAATACAATAAAAGCAGTGTAGCGCTTGACACTCTTGCAGTATCACCAGTGGTTGGTTTAATGCCTGTTAAACAGGAGCACAAAGTCATTCACTGATCTTGAGAAAGTGGTTAAATCATGTTCCTTTAAAGTTTATCACTATGTGAAAAGATGTCCAGTGYAGACGAGTTTTTTTCCTGGTTCTCGATTTTTCTGCTGTTTGTGTTTACCTTGGCTGGCTAGCTAGAATTAYCACGGGTGCAATAATCTGTCATAGATAAACAATAGCTCTGTAGTATCATTGCCCTGTGCTTGCAAGTCTTGTTACCGGCTGTTTCTCACCATTTATTACAGCAAAGGTAATGCTTCTTTGGAGCCAGTTCACAGCGGTTAATTGTGCACACAGCATTTGCATGATTTTCAATCAAAATTAAAAGGTTGACAATTATCTGAAAATTCATTTCTGCTAGACCAGAATGACTAGAAATTAGTATGAGTAAAAGTGCCATTTTACAAAGSAAGATTGAAAATGATTTTTTTAGTCTATCTTCATAACAGTAAAACTAATTTGCAGCATGTGAAAAAGTACTAATTCAGCTCGATCGGTAATTCAAAAAGCTAGATTTACTTAGACACACCTTTATAGACAATAATGAACTAGTATTTGAAGCAAGGATACTTCCTTCTTACTCCTCCTTGGTTTAGTCACATGTAACGTGTGTAATTATTTTGGTGACTTTTCAAAAACTACATTGCTATGTGATTTGCATGAAACTTACAATGATTGACATATATTACACACCTGTTTGCAGGTTCATTTGCCATTCCCTTTCATCTTGAACAATTCTTTACACCACAATAAAGCTCCGTGCAGAATTTGCAATTCATTTATATATTTATATTGGTCTGTGATGATAAAAGGAAAAGCACTGCAGCCATGCGTATTGTTTTGAATTCTTTCACTGTCTTAAAGTGCTTATTGCAAGGAATCTGTTCAAAATTTGGCAAGGCAGCATGGATTTTATACCAGCTGTTAGACCTTTTGGAATGCTTTCTGTTCAACAATAGTGTTACTGTGATTTATGCACACAGTTTCCTGGGTTTAGGTAGCTGAGTAAAAAGTGGATTTAATTTAGCTGGTGGAGATGAATTCAGCAAGCTGGAAGGTGGGGATTTCATCTCAAGGCACAATGTGAATTTTGGGGCAGGAAGCTTTGTTCCAAAGCTTGCATCAAATCCTCAGTATGGGCAAGGACTCTTTATCAGCCAAGAGGAGCTCTGACCCCAATGTCTGATTTTAGCAAGTCTTCCGCAGTGTTTTACGCTTCTGTGTTATCTCTGCATTAACAAATTGCTCCATAGCTAGGCACTTGACATCATCACAGTATTTTTTCTTGGTTTGGCTTCTCTCAAAAGAAATACCCGAAAGAAAATCCTTTGGTGTTTGCTGCAAATAGTAGCAAGGGGAATTGTCACAGTTCTGGCAGAGYGTTTATCAAAGCCAATTGCACCCTCGGTCAAGGGACACGCTGGAAGCGCGTGGGGGGAGCGTGTCCTTGGGGATGTCCAGAGCAGGGACCTGGTGGGAGCAGCAGGGATTGAGGGTGGCTGCCGCGGCTGCCCACATCCTCTGCATGGAAGTCCTGTGTGCGGGTGCCAGGCTTTCTGCCCACTCTTCTCCTCCTTTCTCCTCCTTCATCCTCTCYTCCTTTCTCCTCTCCTCTTTTCTCCTCTCCTCCTTTCTCCTCTCCTCCTTTCTCCTTCTCCCCATGACAAGGCCCCTCTTCCCGTTTGTGGCTGATCCCTTCAGGGAGGTTTCCTCGATGCCTGCTGCTGAACTAGGCTCCACACGGGTGCTCTCAGGCTGCACGTGGCACAAACCACCGCTTCTGTTTCCCAGGAGCTCTGTGCCTCCGTACCTGCTGTTTGTTGGTTCTTTTTCCTCTCTTGGGGAATTTTACCCTTTCCCAGTGAAGCTGCTGTAGATAGCTGCTGCAGAGATTGTCTTTCCACAAAACTCCCTAAATACTTTAGCTGCTTCCTTAAATAGGATAAAGACCTGTCCTGAAGACTGATAGCTGAATAAGGAAAGGGGGATTTGGAGGTTTATGTTTGATTGCTGGGCTCAGGTTTGGCTTCCCGTTGGGGATGCACRTGGTGTTTGAGCTCCCTCGGTTCTGAAGTGGAGGAGTCCTGCAGCCAGCATGAGGCCTTGCGAGGAAGACGGGGACTTGCCAGGATATCTGGAAGAACACTCAAAACGGGAGAGGAAACGGGAGAGCAGAGGAGCCGGTCGGGAGGGGATCCGCAGCGCCCGATGCCTGCCCCCCTCGGCAGGGCCCGGCAGGGGCTGGGGGCGAGCGCGGCGCCGCACGGCTGCTCTTCTGCATGTGCTGCGCTCCTCTGCTCCCACAGGCGCTCTCCTCTCCTCCCGCCTGGCACCAGTCACACAGACATACCTGTCTGAACCACTCTTGGGGGGTTTATTATTCTTTTTAATTCCATATAAAATCATAGAATCACAGAATGTTCAAGGTTGGAAGGGACCTCTAGAGMTCATCGAGTCCAACCCCCTGCTCCAGCAGGGACACCCAGAGCACGGGGCACAGCGCGGCATCCAGGCGGGTTGGGAAGATCTCCAGAGAAGGAGACTCCACAGCCTCCCTGGGCAGCCTGTGCCAGGGCTCTGGCACCCTGTCACTGTTAAGAATCCTCAAGTTGCTGTGGAACTTTTGGTGCTTCACATAGTGGCCATTTCCTCTAGTTTCTTTCAGTGGCGACCACTGAAAAGAGGCCGCCCCATCCTCCTCACTCTATGTGTATACRCTGAGCAGATCCTCTCCTCAGCCTTCTGTTTTTCAGACAAAGATTCAAATKAAGTTGTTCAGGGTGATGCTGCCCTTTATCACGAACTCTCCATTCTGCAAATTGTGTGGTTGGCAGTCACAGAACCAAGAGAAGATTCAAGACCTGCGTGCAAGAAGACAACCATGGAGGAGACCCTTCCCTGGGCACGGAGTATGCAGAGCTGGAAGCAGACAGGAGAATTTRTTAACAGATACTAATTACAAGCTTTTTGTATGGAGTTCGTATTAAGAGGTGACTAAGTTAAGAAGGTGGAACAATAGGTATTTAAAACAAGCTACTTGCTTCTCTTGCTGCCTTCTCCAATTTGCTGAATTCCTCCCGTGTCCAATTTGCTGACTTGTTTTATTCACGGTAATTACGCTGTGTGATCAGTATTACAATGAGTAATGTAAGCACTGTTGGTTTCCAGGTCTAGGCTATTTTTATTATTCATGAGTGTTCTGCCACCAGACTACTTAAAAAAAGAAATACCCAAAGTCTGTCAACATTAATAACTCCTCTTTAGAATATTCTMTAACCATTAACTAAACATCATAAAGATACTGTTATGAAAATGTTTTCCTTTTTTTTCTGTAGTGAGAGAAATAACACATGAAGCTTTAAATATTCATTAAAGAAAGAGAGATTCAGCACCATGTAAAGAAAAAAAAAAAAGTGACACATACCTGAAAGTAAGACTGAGTTTCAACTTCTCATCCTGTGATTCACTTGGCCTGTATGCTGTAATGTTGCGTTACCGATAGATGATAGATCCTACCTCTAAGTGTCGTTTCTGTTCTTTTTTCCTCTCACTGGGACTTTCGATCCTCAACACCCGTGCGGGAGCGGATGCGCACGAGGTTGATCATTAGCCAGAGCCACAGGGACTCGTCTGGAACAGCGTTCGGCACGTTCCCGTGTTTGCTGTCGGTAGCGCGGCTCTTCCTGCTCGCCCTGCCTCCTTCCAAAGTCCAGCGGTCTCAGCCACTGTTTGCCTCCTTTATCTGCATTTCTGAGCGAGGCGGTTACGGCCACAGGCCTGCTTAGCAGGGAAGAAAACGCTCAGARCTGAGCACGCTCGAGGAACCTAAAATCTGTGGCAAAAATAACCCGCCCGCTCTCGCTAGGTTATAATGGGCAGTTAATAATTAACTGTGGTTAATAACTAACAAATTATCAGGGAAGACCAAGACAGACTTGGTTTCACGGGCTGCTGCTGTGGGAGTCGTGCAGTGGCTCCCGAGAGGCTCACATTGGGTTTTCCACGGAGATAAGGGCTCCTTTGTGGCTCTAGGGCTTTGCAAGGGGCTCCGGAGAATCCCGCTGGGGCTGTTTGGCCTTTCCCACCTCTGCTGGAGGACTCTGGCCGCCCCAGGAAGCTGATAGCTGTGGAATTCCCGGCTCGGTTTCGGTAAGTTCAGGTTTCAGTCTTGGGTATAGTTGGTGTTTCTGGGGCGTTTTGTCTGCAAGCGATGGCGTGAGCGCTCCCGAGCTGTCCCAGCACCTCGGGGGGCACCGAGGGCAGGAACCGCGGACACAAGGTAGTGGAACGCAGGGGCAAGAGTGTATGGGGACTGCTACACC